CATTGAGCACTACCCTGAGCTAATTCGAACATTTGGTCCTCTGTCTGATGTCTGGACAATGCGTTTTGAAGGAAAACACAAATTTTTAAAAAAAGCTGTGCGTTACTCTCACAACTTCAAAAACATACCCCTTACTTTAGCTAACAGACATCAGAAAATGATGGCCTTCCACTTAGCTGCCTCATCTTTTTTTAAGCCTCCTATTGAAATTCACAAATTGAATTCTGTGATGGTTTCATCATTTCCAGAAAATGTCCAGAACTGGCTCAATCAAAGGAGCAACAAGCTGAACACAGTACTTGTAGCTTCCTCTGTCTGCATTGATGGCATTAGGTACAGTGCTGATATGGTCATTTCTGTTGGATCCTGCTCAGGGCTCCCAGATTTCAGACAAATCATAAACATTGTCGTTATCAACACAGATGTAGCATTTGTCTGCAGACTGATGACATCATGGTATGATGAGCATCTCAGAGCGTACGAACTCTGTAGCAGCCATTTGCCGACCTTTTCAGTCACCCAGTTGTCCGAAATGAATGATGTTTTTCCTCTGTCACTTTACAGAGTTCATGGCAAACAGCTTGTTACTCTCAAACGGTACATATTGTGCTGAGTGGATTAAACACTTGCCTGTCTCAGATGGATTTTTCTTTTTTTTTTTACAGGGTTCAAAAAAATAGCAGTGTCTGCATTTTTCATTACAAACTCAAATATTTACTCAATAAATTGAAAAACATGTGAAGATTTAGCATTCCTGTGAATCACTAAACTAATATTTAGTTGTATAACCACTGTTTTTGAGAACAGCTTGACATCTGTGCTGCATGGAGTCAACCAGCTTCTGGCACCTGTAAACAGGTATTCCAGCCCAGGATGATTTGACAACTGTCCACAATTCCTCTGCATTTCTTGGTTTTGCCTCAGAAACAGCATTTTTGATGTCACCCCACAAGTTTTCTATTGGATTAAGGTCCGGGGATTGGGCTGGCCACTCCATAACCTTAATTTTGTTGGTCTGGAACCAAGATGCTGCACGTTTACTGGTGTGTTTGGGGTCGTTGTCTTGTTGAAACACCCATTTCAAGGGCATTTCCTCTTCTGCATAAGGCAGCATGACCTCTTCAAGTATTTTGATGTAAGCAAATTGATCCATGATCTGGTATGCGATAAATAGGCCCAACACCATAATAAGAGAAACAGCCCCATATCATGATGCTTGCACCACCATGCTTCACGGTCTTCACGGTGTACTGTGGCTTGAATTCAGTGTTTGGGGGTCGTCTGACAAACTGTCTGCGTCCCTTGGAGCCAAAAAGAACAATCTTACTTTCATCAGTCCACAAAATGTTTCTCTATTTCTCTTTAGGCCAGTCGATATGGTCTTTAGCAAATTGCATCCTCTTCAGCATGTCTTTTTTTTAACAGTGGGACTTTGCGGGGGCTTCTTGCTGATAGATTAGCCTCACACAAGCGTCTTCTAATTCTTACGGTACTCACAGGTAACTTCAGGTCATCTCTGATCTCCCTGGAGCTCATCATTGGCTGATTCTTTGCCATTCTGGCTATTGTTCGATCCATTCGAATGGTAGTCTTCCGCTTTCTTCCACGTCTCTCTGGTTTGGCTTTCCATTTTAAAGCATTGGAGATCATTTTAGCTGAGCAGCCTACCATTTTCTGCACTTCTTTATATGTTTTCCCCTCTCCAATCAACATTTTAATTAAAGCACGCTTTTCTTCTGAACAATGTCTGGCACGACCCATCTTTCTCAAGTTTTTAGAGAGAATTGCATGTACAACATGTGCTGGCTTCACCCTTAAATAAGGGCCACCTGAATGACACCTGTTTGTTCACATAATGAATGATCTCACTGATTGAATTCCACACTGCTATTATTTTGAACACGCCCCTTTCACTTAATTATTCAATTACACAGACTCAGGAACATTGATATCATGAATGTTGGGTCTGTTGGTTTCTCTGACTCTACTACACCTACTGGTAAATTATTTGCCATATAATAATATGATTTATACCAAAAACACTGATTGATATGGTTGGTCATGTTGGACTGCTATTATTTTGAACACAACTGTACGTAAACGTATATAAACCCAGATAGAGTATTTACAAAACTGTGAAGCGTCAATTTGCTCTAACAGTGGAGTCAAACGTGAGTGTCAAATTTTGAATTTTTTTCAACTCTACAGCGAGATGATTATACCCGCCACCAGAGTAACTGACACTGACAACTGACAGGTAATGCAATAATTCTGTGTTATGAACCAACAAAACATAATTTTGCATGTTAACCTAATGTCATATCTGCGTTTGTATTTGATGCTGATATCATCATAAAGATTTTTTTCTGTTGTCATCTTCCTTCACGAGGGTAGCTTCAAGCATGTAAGTGTAATAATTGCGCAAATCGGTGTTGGTAGCTAACGCTACCATTTAACATTTAAGATACACTTAGCTAATCTTCCCTATATTTGGTTGGTAGATACAAGATTAGCATGCAACTAGTTTTGTCGGTGGTGCAAACCCTTGTTTAACATGTTGACCTCAATAACTGTCGACAGAAACAAAAAAAGTCCCGTCAGCAAAGTGAGCAGTGTCATTTGGATTCTGAACCAGCAGAAAGCCTGTCTTCTGTTGCCTTTTTGAAGTAGCTGTAATGCACTAGCCTTATGCTTTGAGTTTGTAATATACGAAATGCCTCGTAGAAAAGTTGAACTGATTAATGCCTGGGTTTTCTTTAAACAGGTGGGTTAACCTAACCCACCTGTTTAAAGAAAATGTTCTTGCCTAGGTTCTTACCTAATTTACTATTTGCTTTTCTTACAAACTAGTGTACCTAAAATTTAACACACCAGAAGACAGACAGCCAGACATGAAGGTGTATGACCAGTCTGACACAGAGATTGACTCAGAGGTTTTTGCTAGCTGAATGTTGTTTCATGTCATGGAGAATGTTTTAAAAAACTCTTGATATTTGATGTAGGCTATAATATTTAATAGTCTAAATATTTAATAAAAAAGTCTCAATATGATTTTTAAAAATTGGCTGAAATATTTTTGTTTCATTTGAAGTTGATTGAAAACATCCTGAAAACAAAGCCTGGAGGTGAGCGCATTATGCAAGAATATGGGAAAACCAAGTCTCTCACAGACAAGTATCTCACAGATGCCACCAGACAACAGATGATTAACCTTCTTACTGCTGAGATGACAGAAACCCATGGGTAAGCATTGGTATTGATACTGATATATAGATAGTCTGTAATGAGATTGTCAGTATTACAATTTTAATTACTTAAATTGTGTCTCTAATGTCATTTGTGTGCGATGCCTTCATTGCATTCACACAGGACATCGCCCGCCAAAAGTG